AGAACTGTATTATTTCAAGGTTTGCAAAGAAGACATTTTTGGGGAAAGGGGAAATCAACTAAATATATTATGTGGATTATGGATTATAGAAACCAATTGTTAATGATTTTTCTTTACAAATGTAAACCCAGCAAACACACTGTTTACCACTTATTAAGTGATTAATGTTTTAAAAAATCAGTAAAATATATGGAGGGAAAAAGGATTGCATTTGTATTTTTCAGCTTGATATGAGACTCTTGTAATGCAATTCACGTAACTACTGAAGCAATCGTAGCACCAGGCTGCTGGCTAATTCAGGTCCTAACTCAATCAAGGTAATTGCTTATGTGCTGATAAATCTGTACTATATAAAATTTACAACTGCTAGAGATTCCACTGGGTACAATAATTAGTTGTCCAATCACCTCTTTTCTCCTTGGGGACTATTTTAAAAAGCAGAGATAATAGTCGAAGAAAGCAGTGTTATTTCTACATAATATTCTGAAAACTGGCAGATAGAGTCATTCTGTGGCTTCCTGATCACTTACCTGGCAAGGGAAATACCCTGCTCATACATCCTGATCTTTCTTCAGACTACAGGTACCAACATTTCTCTCCCTCCGCAGAAATGCACTGTGCTTATAATAATTGCCACGTCGGTTGAAGTGCAACAGGTGAAGTCTCCCCATCCACTGCGGTTGCCCTCCTCTAGGTGACTAGTTCATATGTCAAAACTGCCATGACTGATAATGAAATCTTTTCCCCTAAAGCTGAATCAAAATCAATTGTAATTGAAATGTAATTGAAAACTATTATTCCGTATCATGCTCAATATCATATCTCCTCTACTTATTCTCTCCTCAGGGCTAAACCTTCCTCATTCCTTCATGCTTCCTTACTGGGAAGATTCTGGAAAAGATAATCAAACAATGAATTAATGAACACCTAGAGGCAAATAAAGTCATTACCAAAAGCCAACATGGGTTTGTCAAAAACAGATCATGCCAGACAAATCTTGTTGCATTCTTTGACCAAGTGACAAAATTAGTGAACCAGGAATGCTGTGGATATAATTTACTTGGACTTCAGTAAGGCATTTGATAAAGTACTCGATAAGACAGAAAAATGTGGGTTAGACAGCATCACCACCAAATGGATTCATTGCTGGCTGACCGGCCGTACTCAGCTTATGGTCCTCAATGGAGGGAAGAGTGTAGTAGGGTGCCCTGGGGCTCTGTTCTGGGCCAAGTGCTCTTCAACATCTTCATCAATGATTTGGATGAGGGGATAAATGGAGAACTCATCAAATTTGCAGACGACACCAAGCTGGCAGGAATAGCCAACACTCCAGAAGATAGACTTAAGATACAGGAGGATCTTGACAGATTTGAACATTGGGCGCTATCTAATAAAATGAAGTTCATGAAAAAAGTAAGGTTCTACATTTAGGCAAGAAAAACTAAATGCACAGGTATAGTATAGGTGGTACCTTGCTCAATAGTAGCAACTGTGAGAGGGATCTTGGAGTTCTAGTGGACAATCACTTAAATATCAGCCAACAGTGTGCTGCAGCTGCCAAAAAAGCCAACACAGTGCTAGGCTGCATTAACAGAGGGATAGAATCAAGATCACGTGAAGTGTTAATACCACTTTACAATGCCTTGGTAAGGCCACACTTGGAATACTGCATCCAGTTTTGGTCACCACGATGTAAAAAAGATGTTGAGACTTTAGAAAGAGTACAGAGAAGAGCAACAAAGATTATGAAGTTTTTAAGAAGAGACTGGACAGCCGTTTGTCTGAAATGGTGTAGGGTTTCCTGCCTGAGCAACAGGTTGGACTAGATGACCTCCAAGGTCCCTTCCAACTTTACTACTATTACTATCAGGGGACTGCAGGCTAAAACATATAAGGAACTATTGCTGGAATTCTAGTTTAATGAAGAAAAGCACGAGGGGTGACATGATAACAGTGTTCCAATATCTCAGGGGCTGCCGCAAAGAAGGAGTCAAACTATTCTCCAAAGCACCTGAAGGCAGGACAAGAAGCAATGGATGGAAACTAACCAAAGAGAGAAGCAACCTAGAACTAAGGAGAAACTTCCTGACAGTGAGAACAATTAATCAGTGGAACAACCTGCTTCCAGAAGCTGTGAATGCTCCAACACTTGAAGTTTTTAAGAAGAGACTGGACAGCTATTTGTCTGAAATGGTATAGGGTTTCCTGCCTGAGCAGGGGGTTGGACTAGATGATCTCCAAGATCCCTTCCAACTATTATTATTATTATTATTATTGATGATGATGATGATGATGATATTGGTTCTTTGGATTCTTTGTTTACTACAATTATATTTCCCAGTTAAAACTGTTTGCAACTGAGCTTTTAGCACCTGTTTTTTAAGGAACTCCCTCATATTCTCCTATCATGGAATTAAAATCACTTTTAAGAAGTCTAAAATATGTGTCCAATTACATTCCTTAGTCCCTTCAAATCAAGTATTCAAAAATTATGTCATTACTTTCTCCATCATTCCTGTTACTACCATTTTGGTAGTATTAAGCTTTTCCTATTAGTTGAATCTTCTTTCTGAAAGTTGTCAGCAAGACAAGTGAAGAATTTCCTGGAAGACTCATACTTGGCAGAGATTATTTTCTAACATATGCCTGAGGTATTAAAGTCCCCATCTTCAGCTCTTGCCTTCTACCAAGACGAACACAATGGTAAGGGGAAAAATAATCTGACTTTACATTGACTAGACAAGAAAAGAGTCCACAAATTTGCTTCATCACTTCTAGCCCAAGGAGTTACTCAACTGAAGCTCACAGCTTCCCTGGGACTAAAAGCTAAAAGATACTACAGTAGAGTCCAGCCCCCTTTGTTGACAAGTGAACTGAACTATAACCCCTGCAATAAAAAAAAATCAAACAATAATCCCACTTGGTCAGAATACCACTATCTCCCTGTTAAAAAAAAAATACTGATATAGGCACAGGAGAACAGGGACTGTTACATGCTTCCAAACTTTATAGAATTGTAGCATTGCAAGGCAGACTTCTGCTGATCTGCAAATGAGCTAGAAGTAAATTGATTCAGCTGCCAACAGCCATAGGATCCCAGTTGAGCAGATCCAGCGTGTGAACACTGCTGAAGTCTGTTATAGGCATAACCCTAATTGCTACAGAGGTGACAAAATAGCTGCCATCATAGGGATGCCAAAAGGTAGGGTATATTTGCAAGATAGTGCAGACTACATACTATCAATTCTTCCACTATGGTTTTGGCAGATATTCAGAAATTCCCTCTACAAACACCACCTAGTGAAATATCTGGTGGGGCTGTGAGGTTGGGACCAGTTGCCACTGGCTGTTTTGTCTTTTGAAATGATTTCTACAGCAGTTCATCTCCTTATCTTTATAACATTTATGCAACATAACCTTCCAACTTTTGTCATTCCTCTCCCTTCCAGATACCCCTAGCCCAGGGGCAGGCAACCTTGGCTCTTTTATGACTGTGGACAAGTCATTAAAGAGCCAAGGTTGCCTACCCCTGCCCTAGCACTAGCCCATTGTAAGGTTCTTCTCAATTGTCTATGGAGCTTCTCAATCATCCAGGTCATGGTTGTCCTGGAGGTGCTTTTCAAAAGGCAACTGGATTTGTTTTTTCTTTGAAAACTGAACAGAACTGAAGAAGCTTCTTGATTGAGAAGCGAAGTGTTTTCAAATAAATCCTGTTACCTTTTGAAAAGCACTTTGGGGATGGCCTTCTCAGCTGTAGCCCCGATATCATGCAGTGGCTGTACCAGGAAAAAATTGCCTGTTCCCAGCTCTTACTAAATTTTAACGACAACCTTATTAACTCTTCTTATGCTGAAGTTTATTTATTCTTGCATTTGATGATTCTTTTTCTTTGGATGATTAATTAGCCATTAGTCAATGTTGTTCTTATGAACTGTATCAGTGAAAGTTAAGGAGAAGTATAGATTCTGTTCTGTATGACGGATAGTTATTTTTAACTATAAGATGACTTTGGGTGCATCTTTACTTAAGCAGCTATTCATAGCTTTAGCATTTCTTCCAGTCCTTTTTCATTACATTGAACCCACCATTTCCGATTCCCCAACTCCATCAGTCACAGTGAAATCCTGCTCTTCTGAATTATTTATAGCACATTTAGGATAGTCTAATTTATGAATTTTAGGGATTTATTACTTGCTTTTCAAGAAAACTTAAAATGGCAGCAAAACCCTCCCCAAAAAATGCAATGTAGGACAGCCGCCCAAAAAAGATTGGCAGAAACAAATATAAAACAGCATCAAATCAATCAGCAGAGGAAATAAAACACCATCTGCTTTAAAAGTCTGGGGAAATTACAGAAGAAAAAAAAATACTGGTATCAAAATTACATTGAAATAGGTGCCGTTTGGTCAGTGACAACCAGTATGGGTGCAAAACCCTTGCTTTTTCAAATTTTGGAGCAAAAGTAAATTTGTGTGTACAAAAATTTCTTTGTAAAATCTACAAGAAAAACTAAATCATGCTCTCTTTTTTCCATTCTTGTAAATGAATAGCTTTTAAAAAAAAGACACCAGAACATATGCAGATGCAAACTGCTCCACTCTTTTTCTCAAATGCAAGCTGTTTTTTATGTGTTCCCTTGGAATCATTCATCGGATCATCTATATTCAGATAGGAAAGGCTTAGGACTATTTCGGGAAAAGTCCAAATAGCCAGGTACATTGATCAAAACTTCAGGATTTTCTAGATCTCTTATAGATACATCGATTAAACTTCTCTTTCCTATCCTTTCCCAGAGCAGAGACAAGGGGGTGGGGGTGGGGATAGGAGGGTGTATATGGAAGAGCTAAAACGTGGATATATTGGGTCTTCTTTGACTGACAGATATCCCTGTCCAATCCTAGGCTTTTACATCTCTCTTTCTTTGCCCCATCTTCTTCTGCTGGATGTTCACCCGTTTTGTTAATGAATGCTCTTCCCACTCACCCTTTCCACTCCTTTGGGACTTGAATGCAGTTCAGAGGAAGACACGCAGGTTTGAGTGAGGGGCTGCGGTTCCCGTCGAGCGCATTTCCTTCACCAATCAAAACACTTCGCTTGCCTGCCAACCGTCCAATGGAATTCCTCAGGCATCTTTTCTAATTCATCCCTTGCATTTCCTTTCCAGAGTGAAATTTCATTTTTTTAATAGAAAGCACCGACTTTGGAAGTGGGATTTTCTCCCCCCCCCTCACTAAATGCTTCCTTCTTGAAAGGTGGAGAGGACCATCTAAAATTTCTGGTGTTTCCCTTTGAAATCAAACAGCACTCAGGAGCTGCAGAGGCAAAAAAAAAAAAAAAACCCTATACCACAGGCGAAGTATTTTGTATGGGATTCTTTTTTAACAGATCAAGGTAAGGTTTTGGTTGCTATTTCCTACTACGAGGCAACAATATTTTTGATAACCTGGGTTGGGTGTTTTGGGTGTGTCAGAACAGTCTTAAGTCAGAGAACGAGACTCCAGAAAGTTAGCTATAGATGTATTGTTGGGATGGTGTTACATATCAAGCGTGCCTTCAGATTTGACAATGTATGCTTGTAAATGTCAAAGTTTCAAGCAGGTGTTTCCCCCAGAATTTGGGCATACTTATGTGCATTTGGCAGAAAATGCTATTTTTTGCCTTTGATTTTACTATCTTTCTGATAAGCAATGTATTTACACAATCAGAAGACTGCATTCTCTGCTCCCTCGGTACCCATTCTGATGCAACTGCACCCGGGTTTGGTGTATAAGGCAGAATTGGTTGTGGGGGGGATTCGAATCAGCTGTGGCAGTGCTGTTGGGATGGTGTGATAGGATGGGATTCCTGATTTAACGTGTGTGGTGGGATAGTGTGGTGGGATAGCAGGGGATGTTAGCTTTGCATAGGGTTGTATCAATATGTGGGATTTGAGAGGGGGCTGGTTGTGAAATTGGTATTTTTTTATCCACTTGTTCGTATTTAATTTTCAGTCAAGCCTGATTGTGTATGTTTGTTCTATTTTTTTTAGTGCAGCTGATCTAGGTAGGTCAATTATTAATCATTGTATATGCAAATGTGTGAGAGGCTTTTTTGTTGCTGTTTGGGGCTTTTATAAGGTTTGTGTGTGTCTGTGTAAGAGAATGTGTTGTATTGCTGCAGTTCTGGGCATGTGCCAGTTCCTTTGTGTGGATATGCATATCAAATCATAAACTGTGCATTACATTTCCTGCTGCTTTGTATCCGTGGCAGCTTGTGTGTGTGACAGGTTGTGAATGTGTTACTTTGTATACGTGTGTGTGCGTGCATGTGTGCGTGTGTGTATATTCCTAAATATATTTGAGAGTGTGAGGCATTTTCAAAAGATCAGTGCCTATTCTTTTCACCCATGAGAATTCCTGATTATTGTACAAATCTTTCTTACGCACAGTCACACTCACTTTTTCTCGCAAATATGCTGAATGATGATACAAGCTGCTCTTATATTTCACAGGCTGGCAAAGCCGGCACAAATTAACCACAGCATTACTGTTTTATTCCTCACTCCCCCCACTTTGCAACTATCCAGCAGAAAATGGGTGCTAGAGATGAATTTGAAAGGCGCACATGAAAGCAACCATTCATGGCTATTACTTAATAAGCTTTCATCTACTGAAAACTGTTTCCTGGATCTCTATTTGAAAAGGGTTGATTCTGTATATCATAGACTTTGTGTGTGTGTTTGTGTGTGTGTATGTGTGTGTGTATGTGTGCGTATGTGTACGTCTGGTATGTTTGTGCTTGAGGCACTAAGATTCCTAGATAATTGCTGTGGGACTATGGGATGGATTGCACAGGTGGGCGTTCAGGCATGTGTGAGAATACAATGCACATGGCAGAGGTTTGTGCCGATCTGGGTGTTCAAAATATTTGTGGGAGCATAATGGTATAACTGAGGGAAAAATACCCTCGTGATTCTGCTTGTTGAAGTAAAGCTATTCGTGCATCGGGCTACAAGCAGCTTAGTTGTGTGCGGGTGAACAACCCAGGTCCCAGAAGCAGTGACAGATAGCAAATATAGGCCAGCCTTGTTCACAAATCAGTCCCAAAAGATGGAGGTGTGTTATAAGGAAAAGTTGTCAGGCGCACCCCAGGTAATCTCTGGGCAAGAGGTATAAAAAGATTAAGGGAATGTGGAGAGAGAAGCCAAAATAAGACATATGAGACAGGAAGATGGTGAGATAAAATGATAATATGAAACAGATTTTGAAGGAAATAGCTATATTAGCTTCCAATAGCTATGAAAGAAGATTTGGGGATGGAGTGGAGTGTGCTATGGGATTAAGCAGCCCATCATGTGGATAGTTTTCCTATGCTTTCTCATGGGATATATATATATTCACCCCTCCCTGCTTTTTAAAGAGCGATGCAGAAGCCTACTGCCTTTTGAAGTCCCCCTAATGGATTTATGGAAGGAGAGATTGCTGGAATTGTGAAGAAAGGATGATGATAAGGGTGAGGAGAGAAAATGGACTCTGCAGTTTCCATGGCAATGTTGCCATGGAAACAGCAAGGCTGCCTGGATCAGCCTCTCAGATGAATGAGGACCACTTATTGGGGAGAAGAAGGGGAGAAAATGGGGTGGTAAAAGAAAAGAATGAGTTACCCAGCTTTTAGAAATTGCTACAGGGAATTTTGCAGTGAGCTTCAGGGATTTCTGAAGTTTGGATTTAATTTCTGAGGTTCCATTGGTTGGTAGTGGGCTTGAGCGTGTACTGATGGAGTCAAACTTTTGACATATCGCATTTTTGGATATTAGCTGCCTTGACACTGATAAAATATGGGTGAAAATAAGAATCCTAATGGCAGAATGTCCATCTAGGCAAAAATAAAGCCTTAAAAAAATAAAGGGCTTTTACGAAATTCCATGGGTGAAAGAAAGATCTTTATTTTTGCGCAAAAAGGTTCAGAAGTGATTTAACAATCAACAAATTTCTGAACAAGGGGGAGGGTCTAAACTAAAGCTTTATAGGTTTCTTTCTCTCAGGAACAAAGGAAGCATAGATGGAATCTTACATTGTATATGGAATCTACTTTGTGTAACATTCAGATAGTTTCTCACACGTTAGGTCCATTTCTCATGGGAATACAATGAAGGCAGTTTTTACTTTTATACAATGTTTCTAAATATGCATTAGGTCATCCACGTACTGTTAATACAGCTTTTGGCTAACACAGCTTTCTTTTCAGAGATTATGCAGACACATGATTTTTGCTTTTAGTGATTTTTCATTATTATTATTATTATTTTACTTTATTCTTCTTTATTCTATGTTATTCTATTTCTTTCCCACATTATTGACACTGATAAAATATGGGTGAAAATAAGAATCCTAGTGGCAGAATGTCCATCTAGGCATCAGACCCTAGTGGGTCATATGTATAGTGACCATTATAAAGAACTGTTCTTTATTTTCTTAGTTTTGCTCTTGAATTTTCCTCTGTAAAGCAAAGTTATAAACATAAACAACTTTTTTTATCTTTATGAACCTCTCTCAGATTTGCCCCCTTTTCAGGTTTGCCCTTTATTTTTTCCCCCAAGAAAATATGGTCACTGTAGACCAGTGGTTCTCAACCTTTTTAATGCCGTGACCCCCAACCGGTCGTAAGTCGAGGACTACTCAACCGGTCGTAAGTCGAGGACTACTCAACTGGTGCAGCGCTGTTTGCAGAATGGGACTTTTGGCGGGCTCAGGAGGGCAGAGACAGCCTGGACAATTCCTATTGGCTTTTGAAAGCCAATAGAATTAGACTTTATTCAAGAGAGTCTATTCTATTGGCTTTCAAAGGCCAATAGAATAAAAGGGAGTAGCATAGTTAAGGAAAAGGAGGAAAAATGGCGGACTGCGTTGTTTGGCGACCCCCGTGAAATGGTCGTTCGACCCCAAATGGGGTCCCGACCCACAGGTTGAGAACCACTGCTGTAGACAAATGCCCAATATGATGTACAGCATTAGAACAGTTTGCAGATCAATAATATTTCCAATATTATCCAATAGGAAATATTTCTGTCTTGTTCCTCAACTATATATAGTCAGTTTACTTAAAATCATACAATATAACAAGATGAAGTTTTCTCAAAGTATGTTTGAACTACAATTCCCAGAATTCCCAAGTGTATTCAGTGGGGAATCTGGGGCTCATTGCTACTCCAATACATCTATAAGGTATCAAGACTGCCTTGGCATTTATTTTGGAGTAGGCTTTTGAATAATCTTCTATATAGTTGTACTGACTGAGCTTACAACAGAGCTGTATGAGTAACTGTACATTACATTCTTTTTGGCAAGAAAGGCAGCAAGAAAGATTTCTGGAAATTGCTTGTTCTGATAATAAATCGCTTCTCTTTTGTAGCCCTAGCTACAAAATAGCTGGAGGTGTTTAATATGCCAATATAAAATACATTTGATATATGAGGCAATGGATCTCAATTGGTTTGATCTGTAGCTTAACTAAAGGTTGTTTGATGAATAAATGATAGCCATTGATATTAATCAAGGCTATCATTTCAGAATGCATTTTCATATTTTTTTAAAGTTATGTTAGTTCTGGTGGGTTTTTCTTTCTTTCTGTTTTAATAAAATAGAATGAAAAAACATTTTTAAAATAACCTTTCTTTCTTAGAGATGATCAAGTTGTTTTTTTAGTTTGAGTCCTCTTCCTTTAATATCTAAAAGTAAAATTATATCAAAATGTTAGTATAAGATTATGAATACAGTGAAATATGCTATTATATTAAATATTGGCAGATTACAGAGTAATTCAATATTGTATGTTTATTATGGGAACAACAGATGATTGTTTTAGAAGATATAGGTAGCAAAATTTAATGAGAAGCTATGAATTCAAAATCTAGACAGTAACTTGCAAGCCTGGTGCATTCTAGGAAAATATTTTCTTGTGCTATAAGCCATTTAATTGAAGGAGAATAGCTCTCTTTTTACCTCTATGAATTTTTATAGTATAGTATTTGAAACAGCCATCAAAACAAAATTTGCATATGTGTCTTAAATTAAATTCAGTGCTGTTGCTTTATATGTTTCTATATACCCCAAAATCAGCTGTACAGTCACATGCTGTACAAAGCCATAATATGGTTTATTTGGTTTTGTGTCAGCATGTTGTATGAACTCAGGCACTGTGGTTTTTAAACCCTGATTTCTAACTTATGTCTTATTCCAAAAACCATAGACAAATCATGACTTAACCAGTTGTAAGCCCACCCATTAACATGCATCTGAAGACTTGGGCCATGTCAAGAGCAAATGTATTAGAACTGATTTCATTGGAATAGGATTGTTGTTAGGGACATAATATACTGCATTGTATATCCTAATTGTTTAACATGAAATCCT